CATGCAAACAGCATGACGGGGCAGACAGACGAGCTGGCATATGGCGCCCAGCGCTTTGCTTCCCCTTGAGGAAAATACAGTTTAGCCATAGGTAAGCTAATTAGCCTAACTGACCTTTAAAGTTCAGACTAGCAGTAGCGTGGGGATAGTTAGCGTGCCTTCTGACCTTTTGCCATCTTTGATGCCGCTGTCTTTATTAAATGCAAAAGGAAATCGGTGGAGCTTCTGTTTTGTTTCGTTGCCATTTTGTTTAGTCTGGCAGCTGAGCTGCACTGTGACAGTCTGAGGCTGTCAGCTTCCTGTCTGCACACACTCTGATATCCACACACACGTCTCACCTGGACAAGTAGTTTGCCTGGTAGAAGCGAAGCTGCTCAGCACGATGTGTGTCGTTCAAGGAATGATGAGGACTTGTCTCCTTCGAAAAAAACCCAAAGAAAACAGCCGTTAGCTCACAGATATCCATGTAACTTGTTAGATAGCCTCTGACACACACTTTAATGTTTGACATCCTGTGTGTGTCACAGCATCTGTAAGAGCAAAGCAGCAGGTAAAACCAGGAACAGTGTGATGAATACAGCAGTAAGTATAGAAACCAGTCAGATCATTTAATGTTGTAAATGGGCATTTGTTCTAATATCAAAGGACCAGTGTGTGATACTGGGGTCATTTATTTTTCCCCATCCAGTGTGTATCATACTTTTGTCTGCTTTAAAAGAGTCTTTAAAGGTTGTTCTAGTATATTTCTACACCAGACAAAGCTCAGGAGAGGGTCTGCTGTGTTGTATTCTATTTTATTTTATTAGGTAAAGTGATCATAGAATAGAATAGAATAGAATTCAACTTTATTGTCATTGCACATGCACAGGGCAACGAAATGCAGTTTGCATCCATCCAGAAGTGCTTTTAGTGATATAGATATATTCAGTTTTCCTATAACATATAATAATCAACAACCCCTGAAAAGCAGGGCTAATCAGTTAGTTCCAACCTCCAATAAATGTAATTAAGTCTACACACTAGTCCTTCAGCAAACACACATTAGTTATATATTAAAGTCAAAAGTTAGAATTCAAAAAGACTTTTGTACATAAAACTAAAGTTACTGTTAAATATGTTTAAACAGGCAGGATCCACACAGTCAGACTTAACAGCACGTAACTGAAAATGGAAACTGATGGGGGGAAAGAAGTTAATCGAGCAGGACGAGGTAGAAAGCGAGCAGCTTTCATGCATGTTTGAAAGGAAGTAAGCACAAAGAAAAGCAAAGAAGTAAAAGAAAGTTAAATATCATGCAGTTACACACAAAAAGGCTCCACATCTTTACTAAGTACAGCAAGTTAGGCAGGCGCAAGAAGTAGTTTTCTCCGGTGCTGCAGGTAGTTACTCACTGTCAGAAGCCTTATCACTTAAGAAGGGCTCCTGTTCCATCATGTCCATGGGGATTTTAATGCTGGGAATATTCTCATTGTAAGGATAGTCAGACTGTTGGAGAGAGGAAACATCATCATTGGAGACGCTCTTTTTTTCTCTTCACCGGCTTGTTTCCAGCTATATCCAGTTCAGAGCTACAAGAAAATCAGTCATGAGTGAATAATTCAGAGCAGGGCGGCAGAAGCAGCCGCCAGAGGGTCCAACTGGGCCCACATCGCTGCAAAGTGTAGAAACTGGAGCAAAGTCATTCATTATATTTTGAATGCAGCACAACGATGGCGTTAACACACAGGAGTAAAAATATGTGGAAATATAACATGTTTTTAAAGTCATGTAGACATAAAATAATATTGTCTAGTTTTTAAAACCAGTGCATATGAAGGTTTTGTACTTTTTAATACCCACTGTGATTGTAAATCATAATGTAAATGTAAGCAAACTCACTGAGGGTGGAAACACACGGATACGTCACAGACTGCTCATCTGTTTTTAAAGCAACAGTTCATTAAATGTTTTCAAAAGAAAGGGGTGTGGCTGTTTTTCACCTAATTTACTATGCAATCATACAGACTGGGCTGCAGGAGACTCGTTAACTAACAGTTAACGATAACTGTCTTGATGTGCACTGTTTAGCCTTTAGTCAAAACTCTTGCGATAAAATCTCTACTCTATGC